TGTAGAGCAAAAAAAAAAAAAAAAAAAAGGCCAAGTCTCAGCCTTCAGGTAGAAGAGGAAAGCTTGAGGTATCAGCTACGTTAAACTGTGTGTTACTTACTTGTTGTAGTTCCTAGTTGCCAGCACAGCTTGGGCAATCAGCTCCTGAATATCCAAGGGCAGAAGTGGCAGGTCCCCGAGGACACGGATACACACCCCATGCTTCTTCAAGCTCTCCCTACACCCAACAACAAGAGTGAGGACTACAGAAAACAGATCAGTCCCTACTGCATGAGTGCCATGTTTGCCTTGCGTAACATCCACCAAACGAAAACAGCAGGCATGTAGCAGGCATAGCTTCAGCAAAACTAAGAATTAGAAAAAGGCAAAGTGACCAGATGTTTTTCAGGTGTTGACAGTTGGCTTAGATTTGATCACCCTGAACCATTCCGTAAAGGGAAACCGATCATTCCTCATACAAGTTCCTGAGGTACAAACATAAGCAAAGGACTAGAAAACGATCTCAGGTTAGGCATTCCTACCTGAAGTTATAAAAATCCACACGGAAAACTTAGAATACAACCCTAGACTCTGGCCACCTATATTTGATCGAAAATTAAGATGACTAATGGTCACCCACGGAGTAGCACAACTACTTTCTGGTATAAGGAAAGATTAATGTATAAGGGTGGGATGGGGGTGGTGGAGTGAGTGTCAGATGAGATAGGAAATCATCCATGCCTGCTATAGCATTATTCTGAGCAGACAGGACGCCCCATGGGATCTTACAGGTTCCTGCTGCTGTCTGTCTGCTGGTACAAACTCCCTGATGAAGGGCCGCATTGGGTATGAACCAGGGAAATGGCCTCTTTGAATCACGGTGTACTGCAGTGCTCAGATAGCCCTGACCTTCCCAACTTCTGCTAGCACACACATGCTGTCCTCTCCCTCCCATTCTTCCAGCTGCATCCCCTCACCGCCTTTCAAATTTACTTCAACCGGATAAGCACCTCTTCCATGCACCACTCTTCGCACCAGTCAGGCGTGGGGAAACAAACATACCCACTGAGCAACAAGGCACCGTGACGCCACTCCCTGCTCACCCAAAGCTGTACTAGTTCCATCTACACCCAATATGTGAACTCGTTCTCCAACTCCAACAAGTGACTTAACACACCGTGTGCCCATATGTAGAAGTCTCAAGTTACCGCAAAGCAAGTTGCCGAGCTAAACTCTGATCTGCCAAGAATTCTATGACAGAATTTAAGACAAGGCTTTGATACTTCATGAAGGCAAGGTGTCCAGCACTCTAGTGCTAAGCAGGAATTTCTAATCGTGCTGTGCTCATCCCAAAGCTGTAGTATTCCAACTGTGCGGATGGGACTGTTGCACAGTAAGCCATATGATACAGACACAAATCTGGTGTGCTGGGGGACTGGGCGTGCTCAGGAGCTGTACATCCCATCCAGGCAGGCAGAGCTCCTCAACACAAATCTCTAGCTGGAGGTGGAAAACGGCTCCCTTCATTTAATCCATTTTCACAACTTGTAACATCCCTGTAAACACCCCTTAATCATGTTCAGCTTTAGTTCCACCCTGTGGGATACAGACACAAGAGGATTCTTACTGTTCTTCCAGCAGACGGCTGAATTTCTGTCTTGCCAGATCCATTAGTCCATCCACCTCCTCCTTGGAGCGTTTAAAGTTCTCAATACTAAAGGCATAAACAGTCACCTCCCGAATGCCCAGATTTAAGCACCACCGTAGCGTCTGCAAGACGACAAAGTATAATGGAAAACAAAAATCAGATAAGCAGACTCAGACAGGTCAGCAAGACCCAGCTTCTCCACCGCTAAAACCTTCCTGTCGTTTCCCACTACGCTAAGACTGGATCAAAAGAAACAACCATCAAGAGCTGACAATGAAACCCACTTGATGAGAATTTCAGATTCATCTTAAAGGACAGAAGGAAAATATCACTATCTAAGGATGTGAATCCACAACAGATATGGGACTAATCCAGCCAGGAAAAGCACTTCTTGTAGATAACATTATAAATTATATAATACTGTACCTTTCAAGACCTTTTCAAAGAAATTCAACCTGCTTCACAGAATTAAAAGCTTCAAGATCTGCAAGGCAGATATTTTAATCGAGTGTAAAACAGAGGGGGGAAGAAAAAAAGCTGATTAGAATGACTCTGCAAGATAACAGGAAGATAGAGAGAGAGGAGCTGAAGTTCGGAACCCTGATGACTAACGTCAGCTCCAAGCACAGGCCTGACTCCCGTGAAGAAAAGGAACACAATACACCAGTCAAGCGGTAAACGTATCAGCTGGTGAACATGGCTCAAACTTTCAACACACAGCTAAAAGGCAGCAAACATCCTTCCCACCTGTGCCAGCTTATCAAAGCCTTGCGAATGCCCCTGCTGTCTCTCCACGTGGCACTTTTGGGCATAACGGCGATTGCCATCCATGATGAAGGCAACATGCTTGGGCATTGGACCTGCCTAGAAAATAAGGAGAAACACAACAGACCAGAAAGCGAACAGCCAAGCTGGCATCCTGCATCGCTGAGAGTTCAGTCCCACTGTTCCTGGCAGCACCGCCTACTTGTCAGAGTGCAGTGCGTATCTCCCAGCTTCAACTCTGGAGCTGGAAAGAGTAAGATGCTAATTACCTCTTTGCTAACCTCAGTTTAGGCTCTCTAAAAAGCATATCAGTACTGACAACTGCCTAATCTGAAAAGCAACTTTGCCTTCCCCGTTTCCATCGCATGACAGCGAACCGTAGTACTCAGGAGAGAGCAGCACTGCCACAGCTACCTCTCTGCAGCCACAGGGGAGGGCGCACACAGTTTTACGCTGCTGTAATTGTAAGTATTTTTTATTTCAGAGTTCAAGGGCATTTTCAGAGATACAATTAACTTCAGAGAAAACCAAAAAAAAGTCATGAGACTTTCCCCCACTTAAGAGGAGTATTCCTTTCCACTGACCTCATTAGGTCTGCACAGATCCTTTTGCGAGAAGGACAGCATCACCAGCCTCAAGACTCTGCTGAGCAAGGACAGAATTTTCCTGGAACTGGCGAGTTATTATTCTACTCAGCAGAAACTCAGTTTCATTTCTTAGACTCATAATCTGACCATCTTGCTTCTCTCCCTCCTCCCGTGCCCCACCTTCATCAGCAAGGGCACAAAACATGGAAGCCTGGGAGTGTAAGCTTATTATTGGCAAGCACTGCCTACAGCCCTGCTCATTTGCAAGACGAGGCTTAAGTAATTTTCCATCCTCGAATGCTGTTTAGGGATGTACATCCAGTGCCAGCACTAATATGCACCCTTCCTAGTAACACGGTATTTCTAGAGCAGAGCAGTCACAGAGACAGTTCCACTCTGAACCCTGATGAACCTGCCAGTTCTTTACCACAGGTAACCAAATTCATTCCTTACCTTAATGATGTTGGCACAAAATCTCTCTATGATGGTCAGCTCGCCTTCTCTGATCCACGACATGTCTTACCGAGAGCTCCTTTTCTTTTTCAATGGGAAGATGAAATTAAAGGGGTTAGAGGTACAGAAGATTCTGCTTGAGCCCAAAGCAATGCTACAAACCATCACCTTGGAAAAATAAGCTTTGACTAGCTGCTTTGGAGCCCTTTTTACCATCTGTACAAGTACTTCGATAAGCAGACAATGGGGGAGCTCAGAAATGAGCTCTGGAGTTTTCCAGCTGTATGCCATGAGAGTGGATTCTGCATTAGCTGGTAGCAAGAAAAAACATTACTGCATTCGTCTTCCAGCTGAACTAGCTGGTGCATTAGTACAGACCCACAGTTTGGGCTACCACCAGCCGAGTCACAGGGTGGCTTCAATGCTTTTGTGTTGCGAGTTGTTGGAAACCCTTCAAATGAAGCAACCGCCTACGTCACCAGCTACCCTGCACTAGCGTCACCACTGATATTTCTTCTCTTTCACATGTAGAGAACTTTAGCCTCTGGAGCTGTAAAAATATTGGGTTTTTTTACCACATTATCTGCACATCAAATACTAATATCTGGTTTGAGCTAACAAGATACAAGAGTTTGCTGAACTTCCACATTAATCGTCAATTCTCTCAGCTAGGAACCCTGAGACACATGGGCAAAGCAGCTATGAAGAGAGCGCTGTGGGGGCAGCAATCCAGATCCAACCACCTGGTACCCATCTAGGGAGCAAAGCAGATTCAAATTACACTGATTGCATTAATTTTCCGTATCGGCCTTCCCTGCCTCTTCCCTCGGGAAGGGATGTCTAGCCACAGATGCAGCCACAAAACA